GGAAAATATTTAATTTCAAAAACAGCATGAAAGACAAAACAAGTACTTCACATGTGTTGTCCAAGACAGAAGGCATGAAACAAGAAAGATAGGAAAATAGCACAATAGGAGCAGCAAGGAAAACCAAATGCAGGTGGACGCTGAAAGCATAAAGATAATCTGTTTTTTTATTAAAAGGGATACTTTTTTTGCAAATTAGAAATATTTTAAAATACAAATCATGTTTCTAAGTGATAGTAAAACAAAAGCAACAAAGATTAAAAAGAAAAGAAACTGCAATGGTAAACGTTTGACGTTGGCTAGGACTTTTCCTATCATGTCAGAATTTTGTTTAGAGCCCCAGAGCTGAGTATATTGGAGGCTGCAGATTGCCAAATTCTAAGGAGAGGACTAAGTGACTCTCATGCACCAACCAAGGCTTAAAGAGGCCCCCGACGCCACGTCACACCCGGCTGATGTAAGGAAAAATGAACAATTCAAAGGAACTTTTGTTGAATGGGAAGACATGTTAGAAGAGGTCTTACTGGGCAAGTGTGCTGAGATTTTCTCTCCCCTTGCCCGGGGCGGGGTGGGGGTGGGGGGAGACAGAACATATCCTCCCCAGCTCCATGAAAGCAATTTAGAGAGTTTAGGGTGCCTTTCAGAAGAAGACATCTGCATTTCTGTCTCCTGTACTGACCTGCAGAGACTTGCAAACCCATCCTGGTGTTGGCCTCAGAGCAGAGGGGCACATGGTAAGAAAGTTCCTTGAAGCTTAATGTGTATCCCTGGGAGTCTGGGGACTTACATAAACATAGAGACAAGTATCCGGTGCTCCTCTGGAGAGGTCTGAAAGCTGGAGCCTGGCCAGGGTAGCATGGAATGGGAAAGAGAAAGAGAGGCAACAGTGGGATGGGAGGAGATGGGAGAGTTTCACGTGGCCTAAGAGGATGCAGGGAAGGTGGACAGGCTTGAGTATTCTTGAAGATGCCCTGCCAAAGAGGGTGGCTTGCTGGGGTAAGGAAACTCAGCAGCAAGGGGGGTAAGAGCTGTGGGGGTAAGAGCTGTGGGCAGCTCCCCCAACGTTAGAAAAATGCTTCAGCACATTGTATTTTGGGACCTCATCTTTAGTGGTTGTATGATATTAATATTTCAGTGCATGTATTTATAAATATATGTATATATTTATCATTAAAAATGATATATACAAAGAGCTTTTAATTTCATTGGCAACTACTTACTATATATTGTTAAGCAAAAAAATCAGGATATAAAATCATACCCATAATGTAAACTCAATAAATTTTTTAAAATGAAAATACAAGGATCAAAGATAAATATGTCCAAATGGTATGAAAAATAGCTGTCTCTTGGTGCTGGAGTTGAAGGTAATTTTTCTGCTTCTTTCTGCTTTTGGGTATTAAAAATGTAAGAACATGTAGTATTATTTAAAAAGAGAAATATGCAACATAATCTGGGGTTGGTTGATGGATGGGCTTCAACTTGTCCATGACTCTTCTAAGGCTGCACACTACTTTTTCTGTAACTGAGTTTGTCTGGAGAGAAAATGATAGTTTTCAAACGGTTTCATCATCCCAGAATTACTAAAACCCATGGATTGAAAATTTTTAGAAAGTGGTTTAGAAGAGTCATAATATTGTATCAATCATGTTCCAGACTTGCCCCATACATTTATATTTAAAAGTTCAGTATTTTAAATATCACTATTCAAATAACTAAACCAGCAAAATTTTACTTGTTTGACATTCAAATGCAAAAACTCCTAAGATATCCATGAATATCTTTCTCATTTAAATTATAACTGCTACTGAAACTGTTATTCCATATATATTTATTGAGCAACTATAGAAGCAAGGTACCAGGAAGCATGAAAACCTTTTTCAGATAAGAACTCCAGGTCCAAGGTACTGGGAAATGAGGAAGAGGTGCTACACCTTTGTGGGATGATTTATTTATGTATGTATAGGTGTATGGGTGTGTGCATGTAAGCATTTGAGTATTTATTTTTATTCATGTTGTACTTTGCTCAAAAATATTTAGGGGCACCTGGGTGGATCAGTGCGTTAAGTGGCTGACTCTTGATTTCGGCTCAGGTCATGATCTCAGGGCCCTGGGATCTGCTCACATCTGACTCTGTGCTCAGTGGGAAATCCACTGGAGGATTCTGTCTCTTCCTCTGCCTCTGCCCCTCCCCTCATGCTCACGCACTCTTTCCCTCTGTAAAATAAATAAATAAATCTTTTAAAAAATTTAAGGAAGCATAGGAAAATAAATATAACAACATAAAATAAAATTTAAAATAAGTAAGTGAATCAGTTGGGACAAAGGCTAAAATGAGGTAGAAAAAGTAAGACAAAGGCAAGAGTAAGGTCAGTACTCTTAGTTCATGCCAAAGTTTTAAGTTTCCTTATAGCCTAAACAAAGAGGTAAACATGATCTATTACATGATTCTTGTTGCCCAGAAAATAAAAAGAAACCAGTTACTGAGGAGAAGCCCAACTACTTCTAGTTCTACCACCAAAGGGAAAGTTCCCCCATGGGTCCTCATAAAGAGGACACTGTGTAATATAATAAACATCGATCTTCATGGGATTAAATAATGAACAACATCCTGATGGAAAATGTGCAGCAAAATATCTGGGTCATCCTAGGCATCACTGGAGAAGTCCTCAGTGGCCACCTACTTAAAATCACAACTCCCCATCTCCCTTCCCAGCTCTGTTTCTTCCCATAGCACTTGCCATCAACTTATATTTTATCTCTTTTTGAATCTGTCTTCCCCCCACTAAAATATAAATTTAATGAGGGCAGAGACTTTGTCTATCTCATTCATTTGTGTTCCCAGAATTTAAAAGAAGAGCTAGCATATAGAAATTGCTCAGTGTATATTTGTTGAAAGAATGAAGGAATTTCATGAATTATCATCATATAATAAGTAATAATTATTATTATTGTCACCATATTATTAGTGGGATTCACAGAACTCTTTTATATAATATTCTTTAAGGTAAAATTAACCCGAGGTAATATTTTAAAAGGCAAGTCTATGAAAGTCACAACAATGTGGTATAAGAATATAGCTTTCAGTGGTCAAGATATTAATTTTATGACATCTAAAGGAATCAATAAACTGTGCATTTTTGGATAATCCTTTATAAATATAGATTTAATCATTACAATGAAGCTGCAAATTGGGGCTGTATCTCCTGAAAGCAGTTAGAGATGAGGTATTCTATGTTCCTGTGAAGCACACAGCAAAGTTGGGTTAGAAACCAGAACAAGGAGTCTATAAAGTGACACAAGCCTGAACTGAAAATAAGTTTGGTACCCACAGAGACGGGCCAAGGGATAACCGCCAGCCAGAGCCAAGATTTTTCTCAGAAAAAGATTAGATGTCCATGTGAACATAAAGACAACTTGATGATGATGGCCTCAAATGTTTATGCTATAGTTTAATAGCTGTTAAGTTTTTAGCCAAGGAAAAATTTGAAGTAGGAAGTAGGATACCCAATGGCTCATCTGAACCATCCGCCATCTTAGTAAGATTCCCATAAAGTAACATGCACTTTCAGCATCTCGTAATTGCAGAATATACACTTAAGCAAATAAGTTTATCTTCTGGATAGAGATATTTTCCATAAGGGACTTAAATATCCAGAGACATTTACAAATATGAGAACTTTAGTTTGATTACAATTACTCTGTAGCTATTCTTTCTGAAATTAGTATCTAACAGAGTCAGTTGTCAATTCAAGTTGGTCCCAATTGCTGACAATAAAACCATATAGTTGACATCTAGGAGAAGATCTTTTTCTTCCTCTTGGAGATTGGGGAAGGGGAGCTTATTCACCTAGGTCATCTTGAAATGGTATCATTTTTCTTTTTAAGTGAAAGAAAAGAACCACAAAACCTCCCTGTTTTATTCCCATCAAATACTATTATTGGATTCACAAAAGCCCATGCACTTCTACCTGACTCTCACATTGACAACCAATGGTGATACAAAATGGGAAGTGATGTGTGCCTAGGGCAGATGCTCAGCACAGATTCTCCAGGAGAACTAGAGGACTTGTGTCCCCAGCTGCTGGGGCTGCTGCCCACATTTGGTCCTCACCTGTCAGCCTCTTTGGGAACCACCTCTGCTGAGACAACTTGAACCCAGCCCAAATGCACAATGACTTCCATGCATGCACCCTTGGAGGGCTCTCCAGAGCTGTCCATCTCTGCACATCCAAATATAGCCTGCCCACTGGGGACCTGCTCAAATACCATCTTCTTCCAGAGACCTTTCCAGATTCCCCCAGCAACTGTTCCTTCCTTCTCTGAATGGCCTTGCTCCCTTCCCTGACAGGGTTACCAGATACAATACAGGACATCCAGTTAAATTTTAATTTCAGATCAACAACAAATAATTTTTAGTATGGATATGTTCCAAATATTGCCTGAGACACCCATGTACTAAAAAAAAAACCTATGTGTTGTCAATCTGAAATTTAAATGTATCTGGGTCATCCTAGGCATCCTGGGCATCCTGGGCATGTTGTGTTTTTATTTGCTAAATCTAACAACCATATTCTCAGGCAGCCAGAACCCAATAAGCCCAACTTCCTCACCCCAACATGGGACAACTCTGAAGGACAACCGTAGTTTCAGAGCATCCTTTGGGGCCAAACTAGGTTTTTCATTGAGAATGCATCCCAGCCCAGCTTTTCTCTCTGCCCAATCCTGCTTCCTTCCCTGTAGTAGTCATTAATTCCAATGAACACTCCCGAATAAACCTCCCGCACACTAATCTCCCTCCTAGAGTCTGCTTCCCTGGAAACCCAGCCCGGGACAGTGCACGGAGAATGGATAAAGAACAGTTCGCTATAACACGAGAGGAACAATAAAGAGGAGTGGGAGGTAGTCTGGAGAGAAAGATTCAGGTGAACTTACAAAGAATATACACACACACTATAGTGAAATGTGTAAGATGGACTAGGTCATCAAATATACTTTGGGCAATAATTTAGAAGTAAACACCTAGAAAATCCCAGTTGTTTGTCACTCCCTGCGGAAGGGATATGGAAGAGGAGGTGTCATGGTTGGGGGTTATTATTGCCTTACACCAGTGCTTCCTAAGCCTTCCCACCTCTTAAGGAGCAGAGAGTGCACCTCCGTTGTCTGTGGCTGCATGAAATTCCTTTGAGGTCTTTGCTTTGAATATTGGTACAGATCGTGCCTTCTATTTCATAATTTATTACTTAGCCATTTAAAACAAAATGCTTTTCCCAAAATCACTCCATTCACTGACTTCCAGGAAGATGTTCCACAATGTTCCTGTAGCTTTCTATACTTCATGGAAATGGCCACTCATCCCTAAAGGAGTTCTTATCCCAGCTTGAGTAGCACAGCCTTTAAAGGATTTATTTCTCTCCTTCTTCACAGGGTTGATTCTGGGGCGAGTCATGCCAGCCTCTCTTGAGTCCAGGATCTCGTTCTTCCTCTTGCTTTCTCCCAGCCAAAGTTTTCTGCTCCTGTGAAGAGGAAAACTGCCCATTGCTATTCTACCCTAATTCCAGGTGTAATAGGCATACAATGCCTGAGGCTAATGTAAAAATCTTTTGTCTAGGTTGCCCTAGCAACACCTGGTAACTAAAGTCATAATTTTCATTAAAGATAACAGGTCAGGGGGTGCCTGGGTGGCTCAGTCGTTAAGCATCTGCCTTTGGCTCAGGTCATGATCCCAGAGTCCTGGGATCGAGCCCCGCATCGGGCTCCCTGCTCTGCCGGGAGCCTGCTTCTCCCTCTCCCACTCCCTCTGCTTGTGTTCCCTCTCTCTCTGTGTCTCTCTCTGTCAAATAAATAAATAAAAAATCTTTAAAAAAAAAAAAAAGATAACAGGTCAGAAGCTGAAAACATCTCACCAAACATATCATTGAATGTTATTATCACTACCTACCTTGGGTCATTTTCCCCTCAAGTTATTGTCTGCCACTTGCCCACACAGAAGCTCATCTCCCACTTTTGCAAAGTCTGACGTTTCAGTAACTAGAAAGAACACAATTATAAGGAAACCCAGAGTTTCACTTTGCAATCCTAATTCTGAATTATCTATGAAAACCCTAATTTTAAAAGTCCAGGTTCCTCTACCACTCCTCGAAGGTCCCATATGTTACCACGTGTCCATCTAAAGAAAGGCCCATTGACCCTTGCTGCTCATTTTCTCTTATTAAATCAAATCTCCATTGTATTGGTTTTTCTTCCTGCTGTAACAAATTGCCACATATTTAGAGACTTAAAACAACACACGTATTATTTTATAGTTGTGGATGTCACACGTCAGACATGGGTCTCACTGGACAAAAATCAAGATGTCAGCAGGACTACGTTCCCTTCTGTAGACTCTAATTGGTGATCCATTTCCTTGCCTTTTCTGGCTGTAGAGGCTGCCCACATTACTTGGTTCATGGCTCCCTTCCTCCATCTTCAAAGCCAGTAACACAGCATCTCTCTGACCCTTCTTCCATCATTCCAACCCATCTTTCTCATCAGAGCCTAGAAAGATTCTCCTCTTTTTAGGACCTATGCAATTGGACTTATGGGGGGCACCTGTGCTCTCCAGAATACAAGATAATCTCCCCATCTCACAGTGATTCACTTAATCATATTTGCAAATTCTCATTTGCCAAGTAAAGTAACATATTCACAGGTTCTGGGGACTGGAGGGGTGGGTGTTGGGGGTGGCATCAGTCTATATACCACATCCACCGATAACAAACGATTCTTTCTTATCCTGGGCTAAATCATTAAAACAGACTCAAAAATATTTGGAGAGTTTTAAAAATAAATATAAGTGTATCAGTTAGGAAAAAATAAAATTACAGTGAGCCACACCAAACCTCTCCTTCTCTGCATGACTTTCTTCTCTGCGAGAGATGTTGGTCAGATGGCCAGGATAAAATCTCTCCTTACAGAAACCCATCCCCCAAATTCTATACTGGTTAATGCAATTTCTAACAATGCCACAACTAATCTTAATCCCACCAGTTCTTCTACGAAGACGAAATCTATGTAGAATTAACAAATCATATTATTACTGGGAGAATTCTCCTGAAGTTGAAAAATCAAGGAGTGTTCATCAACTGTGAGATAAAACCTGTGTTGATCTGAATGGTAGGTAATTATCGCATCTATGGGAAAATTTTTCAAAATGTTAAGATAGTTCTCATTTCAAACTCTCAGCTATGGAAGTGACTTATTTCCAAATCAAAATTTCTATCATAACCCCATCAATGCAATATTTATATTCCTTAATTGAAATCATAGAGGCACATCTTGCTTCTGCAGCAGGTAGAAGTGAAGAATGCTTACCTCTTACCCCATTTGTGAAGTGTTAAGATAATTTTCCACTTGGGATTTCATGAGAGTCCTAGAAAAATAAATAGCATAATATTTATTATATGGGGGGAATAATCATCTATCTACTTTTGTCGGTATAAGAGATAATTCTGTTCCAAGCTCATTCCCAAATTCTTCGCCTTTTTCAAATTTCTCAAGAAATCTACATACAAATTCTTATTCAAGAGGCAGCGTTTGCAACTAAACGCAACCAAGATTTATTGGTTCTCCTTCCTCAGTGAAGATCTATCATGCCCATTTGACTTTCTAAATGACTCAAGAAAACAGACCTTTGTGGGCATTTGGGGAATTTTGAACACAAAGTTATGAGCAATCACTTCCGATAGACCTCAACACCACCACCTCCAAAACTGTCCTTGGCCCCCCACCATGACTCAAGAATGAACAGCAAGCAGTAAAAATGAGTCTCAGAGGGGAGCTGATAAAAGAAAAGTGGCCAAGAAAAAAAAAAGCCACAGAGAAAAATGAAGAATATGAATATGTCCCTGTAAAAACACCAGTGCCTAGAGCACTGCCTGGCATGTAGTCAGCACTCCATAGATACTTACTGAATGCTGAGGCTCTTTGTTTTCTACTGAACAATTTTTCACTGAGCAACCTGTCACACGGAGACAGAGTTCAGGGATGATAATATCAGTGGAAAAGGCGTTGGTGAGGTGGGTGATTGGAAACAGTTCTGGTCACTGCTCTGCCACAATTAGATATCTGATTTGGGGAAAGTGCCTTACACATCTGGATCTCTGATTCCCCTGCTGAACACTGAGGTGATTAAACTATGATCTGTAAGATTCCTTCAAATGCAAAATCTAGGATTCCTTGGACACAAGGAGGGATTCAGTTGTTATGATGCTGTGTCTCGGCCTTAGTGAGGAGTCAGGGTTCACCCTTCTTCTCTCACGCTCTCTGTGGCTGTGACCTCTGGCCCTGTCCTACTGCTAGTTCCAGCCCTACCCTAGTTCCTTTGACCCCCAGGTCAACCAGTGGTAGAACCACCACCATCAATAAGCATAGTGACCGGCCTGCACAGGGACACCTAGGAAACTACCCTCCTCTTATCTCATATTCTCAAAGGTTTTTTGATGTATATATTGGATCCATGATTTTTCTTTTGTACGGAAATGATCCTGCCAGTAGATATATTAGCTGACTTTTTGGCATGGCAATAATGAAGTTAAGACTACCAGGCAAATGTAGCTTCTCTGTTCTGTGAACCAACACTAAACTCTAATCGTAGCTACCTATCTCATTCATGGTGGGCTATTAATCATCACATTTCCAAGAGAAATAATTCAGGCATAACCCAAAGTCCATCCTGGAAAAAATGTTTCCAAGACCATTCCAATTCTCCATTGCTGACGGTGAGGTCTACTGGCTGCACAGAAAAGGAACTACATTTCTCTCATCTCTTCTCTTTCACTCAACCCTATCATCAAAATAGCAGATTCCTCATAAACAGACTGGGGAAAAAAATTCAAGAAAAGAAAATTTTATGTAAGCCAGTTCCTGAATAATATTCAGCTCTTGATAATAGAAAAACTCCCAGATGCTTTATCCCAAGGCTCCCTAAGGCTCCTAAAACACAAATACACACAAATCATGTTCAGGAATCCTTACTTAAAGTTGATTAACCCAGTCCTTCAATTCTGCCCTGTCCCTGAGATATGATCAAGCAAACTCATTAGTAAAATACTTTTGTAAATGATGCTTTTAACACAAACCCAACAAGCAGACGTGTGGCAGCAGTCAGGCCCACCATTGTGCCTCATTCTTACTCATCAGCCAGTAACCATTACAAACACTCAGTGAATCATATGGTTTCCTTAGGGAGAAAATGCAGGGGAAAAAATAAGCTCTTATTCTGCAAATAAGACTTTTTAAAAAAATTCTAGAAGAAAAGACTTGGGCTTATTCATTTTGAAATCTGATGAAATGTTCAATTTGTGGCAAAGCACTACTTCTAATTTATGAACACAAAATATAACAATGCAAATTAAAGGAGACCTAAGTCAATAAGGTTGACATTAATAATCAGTGAGTTTTTCCAGAACTAAAAATGACTGAAGCCAAGGTATTTTCAAGAAAATATCACAGTAGAGGGTGCCTGGGTGGCTCAGTTGGGTAAGCAACTGCCTTCGGCTCAGGTCATGATCCTGGAGTCCCTGGATCGAGTCCCGTATTGGGCTCCCTGCTTGGCAGGGAGTCTGCTTCTCCCTCTGACCCTCCCCCCTCTCATGTGCTCCCTCTCTCATTCTCTCTCTCTCAAATAAATAAATAAAATCTTAAAAAAAAAAGAAAATATCACAGTAGATCTTAAATAATAATTATTTTGATCTCTCGGGTTCTACCATCCTAAAGTCTCTCGGGTTCTACCATCTGCCTGAGCAGAAAACTCATCTACCTCTTTTCTACACAGAACTTTGCACAGGGTCATGAAGCCAAAGCCTTTCCATAAATTAAGGTACCAGGTCCTGTTTGATTCATTGATTCTCCAAGAAGACTGAGGAATTTAAATCAGTGAGCCACACATGCTGGGACTTTTTTTCCTGGAGTAAAACAAAAGTAAGATTTTAAAATCAGCTGGTTTTGATTTTACAAAATAGTATTTTTCAGACCCTAATTATATTTTCAGGGGAATAATTAATTGAGAGAAGAAAATCAATTCCATCTCATTAGATAATGAAGGGCATTTTATATCAAGCAACGATACATTGAACCTTGCCTAGTAAGTCAAAACAATGATGATAACTCCAAACCAATTTACAGAATAAACCAGTGTGGGGGAAGTCCCTGAAGTAATGTAATACCGAACTGATATTTAGAATCATCTTAAACAGAGCATATATCAGCACAGACAACAGGTATTTTCCTGTATCCAGTCTCAGCTTACATTTGAGTTTATTATAACAGAACAGAAAGCGAAGGTCTTAGTACCCTGAACAGAGTATTGGGCCAAATATAAAGTGATCTCCAATTTATAGCAGTCAGAAGTGCAAATGAAATTCATCAGGTTGCTTTATTTCTTCCCAAAACCAATCAGAAATAAGGAACAATAGAAATGGGATTTGATGGGGGTGATTCTAAGTGTTGAAAGAGAGGTCAGGTCAAAATGGGGAAGGAGTTGGAAAGGGAGGAATGGGGTGGCCAGAAGGCATCACAGGAATAATGGATGCCTTATATCATGAAGTAGATATAAAGTAAGTTTTCCCAAAATCCTGCCTGGGCTGGCTCCACATGGAATGTTCCCAAATCTCCCTTTGCTCCACCCCACCTGCCTCCCTTTCCTAAAGCTGAATTTGGGAGTTATTTTCTAGCAGAGCTTGTATGAGGAATAGAGGAGACTCCCCCTTATCAAACTCCATCTTCAAGGTTAAAGAGTTAGTTGTAATTGGTTTTATTTCCATTTTATTAACTGCATTACAATTGATCCTGAATTTCTTCCATGTAGCAGGGAGTGAGGGAAACAGCTATAAATATCTACTTCTTGCTCCTTTTCAACTCTGGTACTTGGTCATCATACACTTTCCTAAGGTGACTGGGCCTTGAACTTAGCAAAACTACCCACAAAAATTGGGATCTCTTTCTTTTAATCCCATCATTTCCAGAATCTACTGGAAATGACAAGCAGAAACAGAGATTTTTTTCTCATCGGGAAAACACATTAATAGATTTCAGATTTTCCAACCACTGGAAATAGGTGTACATACCAGTAATTTACACCAAAAAAGATTCTAAACAGATATGCCCTTGGAGAAACCCTTGTCAAGGAATGACCCTCAACTCTGACCCTCTAACTTTTTCTCCCAAACACACAGGATCCCTTGTAGATTCTCAATGCTCTTAATGCTTTGGGACTAGTTTCTGCTTTAAGAGTCTGCTTGATCCAGTTTACATCATGACCTGTCCCAGATTGACCAGAGCGGTGTATATACAGGTGCCCTCTTGCCTTTCCTAGAGAAGGAGGAGCTATTATAAGCTGGGATCAGTCAAACATCAGGTGTCTGCCTCAGTCTTTGGGATTTCTCAGAGCAACCTAGCTATTCTGGTCCTGATGCTTACCTGATGGCCTTTAAGGTAGGCCTACCGCAGTCCTGGTACCCCTCCAACACTCTGGTGTTGTGAAATGAAAAGCCAGAAGACCCATAAATGGTCGTAACTTTTCTATCAATAAGAGATTGTCAGTGGGTTGATGAAAAGGAATCTCACTAAAAATAATTCTTTACATATACAGAGCACTTGACATCAGCAAATCATTTTCATAGATTATATGACAGAATCCTCAAAATGATGTCACAAGATGGGATAGATAATTTAATTTCCTTTTTAAAGCAAACAGACTCAGAAAAGCCAAATGACTTGTTTATGTTACAGGGTTAATATGTAATAGAGACAGAACTTGAACTCAGGACTCCAGATTTCAAGGTTGAGTGTGCTTTCCAACATACCCTGGTGTCTGTCATATCTGAAATGAAGGAAACCAAATCTAGAAGCCCAGCACACACCACTTGGGATACTTACAGACCAGATACAAGACAGCACTGCAGACCAGTAAGAACTCAATAAAGCCAGAATCCCACCATTGGCCCATCCTTTAGACTTGGGTACTGGAAGATTACCTTTGGTTTAATCAATCTCCTTGGCATCCTAAGTGGTATGTCAGGGGTGTCCAGTGAGGTCCAGAACAGCAAATCTCCACCATGGCAGCTTATAGAAATTTTTGTTGAATATTATTAAAATGCAGACTCCCAGACCTGGCCCTAGACTTACTGAATCAGAATGTCCAGATACATAACCGGGATATATGCACTTTTTAAAAAGCTCAAAAGGAGCTATTGATGCAAGTCTAGGATTGTGAACCAGTTTTCTTGAGTACAGTAAACTCTAATTATCAATTACACTCATAAAAAAACCATCAACTGAAGCGAACTCAAAGTTTATTGGATATGGCAGTAATAATCTTAGTTATGTTTTAATACACATTTTTCAGTTTTCATAACCAATATTCATACTATGGTTTTTCTTCTCTCTGAAAAGCCACTGTAAGAGAGAGGGCCATCCTCCTCTACTATCTGCTAGGCTTATCAGTGAGGCAGCCTCATTAAAAACAAATTCAACAGGGGAGCTTGGGTGGCTCACCCCGTTAAGCATCTGACTCTTGGTTTTGGCTCAGATCCTGATCTCAGGGTCACGAGATCAAGCTCTGCGTCGGGCTCTGTGCTCAGTGTGGAGTCTGCTCAAGATTCTCTCTCCCTCTTCTTTTGTCCCTCCCCCCGTGCATGCGTGCATGTGCACACGCACGTAAGAGGTCTCACTCTCTCTCTCAAATAAATAAATCTTTAAAAAAACTTTCTTCTAAAACAAACAAACAATTTCCCTGGCTTAGACTCAATCCAAAATAGTAGAATTTCTGCAAACGTAAGGAGGCAGAGTTGCCCTGAAAGCCAACCTGAAACACTGAACTTGGTTTAGACATCTCGGGGCAGGGGACAGTAGATCCGAGGAGTCTTAGTTCGAAGGCAGCTCTGAGGCATGTGCCTCTGCAAACAAATACTTTGAGCCATCTGAGTATCTAACAAACCAAAGCCAGAACAACAAAAGAGCCCCTGCAACTAGCAGTGACCCTCCAAAATCCCTAGAGGTAATTAGTTAGAAAATGATTGTTAGATGTGCTTTAATCAGACTTTTCATCTACTCACAATACCATGTAAGAATAGACACTGTATCATGTAACTGACCGTGCTATCCTCTGCATTGGCTGCTAAAAAGTTTAAATACAAATTTAGAGTATACTCCTAGCAAAATTTATAAATTCCTTAAAACATTTATCAGTCTATTTTTTACTAATCTCATGTCTGATGTCATCTTATTATCCCAATTTTTCTCAATGCAATTTCTCCTCTCTCTTCTATTCACTTATATTTTACCTTGTTACATGCCATATGTTTTTATAAGTTGCCCCACATACTTTTTAGGAACAAGGAAAGAGAAAGGAGAAAAAGAAGAAGAAAAAGAGGAAAAGAGAAGAAGGGAAGAAGGTAGGAAAAAGTATTCTAGAGCAGCCGGAGCTTAAATTCTCCATCTTCTCTAAAGATTTTGTATTATCTACTTACTACAAGTGATATTCTTACAAATATGGATATTATATGACTTCAAGTTATTCAGAAAGTGCTATGGCTTTCTAAAAATGTGTTTATCTGTTCTAGTAAGACTAAATATTCTTACATTTTTCCACTGAGAACTGTAAAATAAGTGAAGCAAGGGAGTAAAATTCATTGATTTCTTTGGCAAGTTCTTCAGTTAGGGATGCAAGATGGTAACCACTTGCCACACTCCATTGTAATTGTGTGTTAGCCCGCATCCCCTCAAAGCCATGCCACTCCCACCCATCACAGTATCCTGGCACATGGTAGTCATTCAACAAATCCTTGTTGAATGAGTGACTATGATCTAAGCAAAGTCTTAGAGATTTGAGGACACAAACATGCATAAAATAGGCCCTCAGCTCTCTGGAGTCTAGTATATAGACTGTGATAAACATATACCAATGAAACATATATATAAGTGGAATACCTGGGTGGTTCAATGGGTTAAGCATCCAACTCTTGATCTCGGCTCAGGTCTTGATCTCAGGATCTCAGGATTGTGAGTTCAAGCCCCATGTTGGGCTACATGCTAGGCATGGAGCCTACTTAAAATAAAATAAAATAAAATAAAACCCACATATATAAGTATATACAAATGATTGTCATAGAAAGTAAGCTGTGATAAATATTATTTAAGTGATTGAGAAAATTAGTGTTATAGGAATCCCAAGATAGGAGAGCTTTCTTTCAGGGGAGCCCTCAGGGAAAGACTCATGAAAAAGTGATTGTCACCACCTGGAGGCAGTATGGGACATTCCTTACATGTGGAGAAAACACCATAGGAGCAAAGGAAATGTGGGGAAATGCAAATGAGTTCAGGAGACAAGTTGACGAAAGGATGATGGGAAATAGTGATTGGTGTGAAATAAACTGTCAGTTACTTCCCTTTCCATCAACCCCTTCTTCCTTAATGACAGAAATCTGACTTCAGCTGGTTTTCTTGGTGCCTCACTAAGAAATTACATTCCCATCCTTTCTAGAATGTAGGTGTATCTGTAGAATTATGTTTTGCTAATGGAATAGTATCTGAAGTGTCACGTGGGACTTGCAGTAAGGCTCTGTAAACATAAGGGGGCACACTCTCCTCATCTTCCATCATGTACCAATACTCGTTTGTGTAGACTGAAGCCTTGGCAGCCATCTTTGTCTATGAGGCTGATCAGTCCTGGAAGAAGCCTTGATCCCCGAGGACTTCATTGGACCACATACCAGACCAGTACTACTTACTACTTTCTCTATAGGAGAAAGAAATAGTATCTGTGTTGTTCAAGACTCTTTCACATCAAGTTTTATTGTTATGTGAAGCAAAACCTAACCAAAACTGATACAGTAGAAAAATATGTAAGCACAACACACACACACACATACACAACATGAAACAAAAAACGTTACCCTATTCCTGTAGGCTGTTCAGCCAACTTTTCCAGTCATCACTTTCTTGACTTTCCTAAACCCAGATGATACACTCTGCTACATTTAAGTAATGTTTACCACAAACAGAGCCCCTAAGAAATCATCTCCAACAGCAACGTTGAAAGCAATTTTCCAGCATGTGATTTTGGTGTAAATCATTAAGATTTTCGCTTTGGCATGCTGCAATTACAGCGAGGCTGGGCTGCAGTGTGGAATTAATCAAGGCATAATAACCAGGTCAGCTTCGAAGGACTTAGTTCCGGCAGGAGACAAGGACAAGGACAAGGGAGGGGTCAACACTAAAACTTAACTGACCAGCCAAGGAGCTGCTGACGATCCCCAGACAGGTATAATAAACTCCTAACTAATGTGAACCCTCGACTGAAAGGACTCATTTGTGCAGCAAGATGAAATCTTTATAATTACTTGCAAAGCAAAATCTGAAGTCTTCTGAATAACTTCAGGAAAGAAGGTTCTGTGGTAGGAGTTCTGCAAAGTATTTTAAAAAGAACAAAAGATGCACAGTAGTTGACAAAATGGAGTTTGAGAAAGCATGGTGATAAAGAACAGGAGCCCGTGGTGACAGCAATTAACTAATAAGAGAGGAGATCAGCACATCCCATCTGATTAATTATCAGCTCCCCACTTCCGGGGCGGGACTCAATGGCTCCAGGAGTTGTGTCAACATTGGCCAGTGGCTTTGAAAGTCCCTTTTGAACAGAGGGGACAACGGAAGAGAGGAAGGTAGCAATGCCTCCTACTGACTGCACTTCCCATGAAGCCCTTGGCCGACTTGATCCTTGCCAAAAACTGAGGTCCAATCTTAGCTTCACACTGGCTTCTTACGCACCACCCCAGCCATCAGAAACATCCAAACAAAACCCATACTTTTACTACTGTTGCAAAGCATTTCCATATACATCTCTTGATGCTAATAACAATCCCAGTGAGGAAACTGAATCACAAAGAGTGACATTGAATTCACAACCATCACTGAACGATTTGGTTTTTTTGCAAGAGTCTGTTCAAGGTTATGGAGGTGCTGATGGAGAGGACAGAGGAGGAGAGGAAGACCAGAAGAGAAGAGTCTGCACAGGCAATGACAGAAGCCAAAGAGTACAAGGTACACTCAGAAAGAGTTGTTTATCAGTTGAGTATCAGGTGCGTGGAGGAGGAGGAGGAGGAGGTCAGGATGGAAAGGTAGGCGAGGTCCCTGTTGTGGAGGAATGTCTCCAGTGCCAGGCATTGTGGGGCCAGTGACTATGACTGCTGGCTAATGACACACGTTCAGAACTGGCTTTAAGAAAACTAATCAGATTGGGGTGTGTAGGTGAACTCAAGTAGAAAAGCTTGAGACCAGGCAGAAACTTTGGGGGGAAAGTTGATGGGGTAACCAGTGCAATTTCCTCTCTCTCATGCATATGTATGCACAAGTTTTCTTTACAATGAAAACTATTCCTAAACTGAGGTTTCCTTTACTCTGGGATGATAATCATGCCAGGCTCTGCTCCTGCATGCAAAGCCTGATTGAAAACCTTGCATGCACATCACTTAAGGGACCCTGCTCCTTCTCCAGCAGCTGTCCAGCGTCACCACAAAACAAATATGTGGGACTGTTGACAGAAAGCAATAACCCTTCCTACAGCTGTTGAATAAATTGCCTATTAGCAGTCCCGCGCCATAATTCATGTCAGATCATGTAGATTCAGCCCTTATGAATAACTGGAAAAATCTTATCATTAAATGAAGTTCTACACGAAATCCCTAAGCATTTTCTTGTTATTTCCTAAAGCTGTTCCTTCTTCTGGCTCATCCCTGAACTTTCTGAGAGCTGGCAGAATCAAAGATAAGAGAAAAGTTCATACTCTCTGTATACTGTTCCTCTGGGGACAGGCCTCTTAGGTCCTTGGGATTTATATTTTAGAACCCCAATTTAAATGCAGATTTTTAACTCCCATGTTGAGCAGCCAAGGAGGTTTCTGACTTGATTAAAATACTGATGCATAAATTTTATACTTAACATTTTCTTCTATAGCATGAACCCAGCTAAGCGGGGTGGTACTGAAGCAATGTTTTTAATGAACTTTCAGGTCCTGCATAAGGTCTCCAAGAAAGTTTATTTTCACAGATCAATTCTCTAAGTCTTAAAGGAACAGAGAGTTCTGCTACTTTTTTTTTTTTTTAAGATTTTTATTTATTTATTCATGAGAGACAGAGAGAAACAGAGGGAGAAGCAGGCTCCCAAGGAGCGGGAAGCCCGATGTGGGACTCGATCCCAGGACCCTGGGATCATGACCTGAGCCGAAGGCAGATGCCCAACCATCTGAGCCACCCAGGCGCCCTCTGCTACTTTTTAAATAGGATTTTAACAACAGCTCTTACCAGTGGAAGCCCATAAACTGAGGGGACATATTGCTACCTGGTCCTGTCGGTGGGGGACAGAGGTAGGACAGCTAGGAGACAGGAGAGGAAATGTGGAATTTGCAGTCCAGCTGACGAGTGTTTTGCAATTTGGGATTGGGAAGCTGTCTCAAGCACTTTGAGCCTCAATTTTGCCATTTACGAAAGTGGGGGTGCTCAGCATGCCGACATGAGAGCGCCATTGGACAGCAGCTGAAGGACAGAAGTCACATGCTAGACAGCAGTCCCTTACTCCTTCACACAGGTCATCTGGGTTTGCTATTTACTTTGTGAACTTGTCCAAATCACTTCACCCAATCTGGCCCTCGATTTCCTCTCTTGTAAAACTGGGGTAGGGTAGATGAAGTGATGCCCTAGATCTCTTCTAGTCTTAATACAATGACCCTCTGATCCTGCTCTAAGTGTCACAACCACTAACCACTATACCCACAAACCCAGCTTGAGAGAAGAGCGAAAGCAAGCAGACTTGAGCTATTCCGGTTTTTCGTTGCCTAGCCACACAGAGGCCAGCCCCTCAAGGAAAGAAAGAAAATAAGATGACAGTGGGGGCAGGAGGATATCACGGCGGAGAGGGTAATAAATGGAAAAAGCCAAGAAGGAAATTAAAACAGAAAACGTACTCCACATAACTTAGATATTACATAAGATGCAACTTATAAAGCGGAAGATATACAAAATTCCATAGTAGCGACAGCAGACCTTCTGAGCAGCAACCCCAAAGGCCAGCAACTCTTCTTCTCTTTCATACGTCCAGCCCTCAGAGTCATGAATGCAACCTCAGGAACTGAGCACAAATCATGTTCCCTCTCACAAATGCAGTTCTAACTCTACTTGACCTTATTCACAATGACCAGGCAATCTAGTAGATAAAGAGAATGCATGTCGTTTGTGTTTGCCAGCTGCCAGATGGAGACTGTTGGTGAAGGATTTCAAAATTCGTAAGGACCATCCATCCCCATCTCCTTAAGAAGCAGGAGGTCTTCCTTCACTATGTACGACAATATACTTGGGAACTCAGAAGTCCAACCTCAACCACAGACAGCACACTAGCCCAAGACATGTGACATTCTCCAAGAAAATTCACCAAAGACATTGTTGGCATTCTACCACTCTGATACAGATAATTAAAAAAAGGAACATGTTAGTTATACTGAACTCAAGCACAGCAACCATACTGAGGCCAATTAACCAAAGGAAGCAAGAGTTATTCTTATCTTCAACTCAACCAGGAAAAACTTAAAAGCATGTCGATAATGGGCTTGAGTTCTTACGCCAGAAATGTATGGGACTTGGTTACTGTAAAAAAAAAAAAATCCTAAAAATTACATTTCTAGCAATATGATAGAGATACTTCATAATAATCTCTCTGTGCCTCCTGCTAATATTGTCACCCCTCTCTTTACTCAGTGGATTTATCAAGAGCTGTGCTCTGTTGGGTTGTAGTTTTATGGTTGACTTGTATGCAGGCCACCCCTTCTGGGTTTGCCTTTTGTTGTTTGTGAGTTTGAATTCTGTGCAGTAAAACTCAGGTCTGCAACCCTGTCTCTGCCATCAAGTTCATTCTACCTGGGGCCTCTCCCTCGGTGAGAGGTTTTCCTGGCTCTCTTGGAGCAGAATGATCTTTGGGAGCCCGCACCCCACCTCCTGGACAGGCTTGGCATGGTTCTCACACAGAGCCAAGGTCCTCACAGAGAGTCTGTGAGGTCAAAA